TAGTAGAGACAGGGTTTCACCATGTTGACCAGGATGGTCTCGATCTCTTGACCTTGTGATCCACCCGCCTCGGCCTCCCAAAGTGCTGGGATTACAGGCTTGAGCCACCACACCCGGCCGATGACTTCTTTTCTTCAGAAATTTCCGTCTTTGATTTCCATTCCTTCATCTTATTCATGGTTTCAGAATCTGAAATGATAAGTGTATCATTCTATAATTCCTAAAATACAAATATCACCTCTTCACTATACTGGGCAGTCTAAGAGGGAGGAACAAAGAACTTAGAAAACCTTTCCCTGCCAGAGCTGAGATGTGGACTTCACCAGAGACACTGCGGCTATCACAGGAACCTTTGTTACCACATACCCTGTTGGTGAAGAAACCTGTTAGGGTGCAGGCTGGAGCTGGGCTGTGGGAGTGGCCTAAAGGGTGGTGAATTAATTCACTAGGGGAAGAGGGCAATTTGGAGTTGGTCCACAGGAAGTGGCCTGTTGGATGGAGAAGGAACTTGCCAGATGGTGTGGCTGGGCCTCAACTGGTTCACAGGAAGCAGCCCACTAGGGTAAGTGCCACCAGGCCTCCCACAAGTTGATCTGCTAGCAGCCACATCAGTAAACAAATAAATAAATAAAAATAGAACAGCATACCGGTACCAGGAAGCAAAGTTAATTTCTCTTCCTGTGGGCATGCATTGTCCATCCAGCATTCTCTGTTGACAAAGTCTAAATCTTGTACCAACTGGCAAAGGAGAAATGTTTACAGGATCCAGCTTTGTAACATAAGTAAACAAAGATGGGTGAATTTAGAGTTGAGAGTCAATAAATTAATAACCAGCTCACTGCCGGTTCCTCTCAATATACCATGATAGTTAAGCAGATCTGTACTATGCCTCAGAATAAAAACATTTGGCTCTCATTTCAACAGAAATCAATTATCCTTTTTCCAGACCTCACATTTTTCTTTTTGATATTCTGGTGGAATTGCTTCCTAATGTATGGCAATTTTATTTCTTCTCCTGAAATTACAAGATAGATGAGCTTATTGATTTTGGTTGTCTATGTTATCAAATCCCTGACCTTGCCCAGTATATTAGTCCATTTTCATGCTGCTGATAAAGACATACCTGAGACTGGGAAGAAAAAGAGGTTTTTTTTTCTTTTATATTTTTTCTGTTGCTGTAACAGAATAAGAAAAAGAGGTTTAATTGGACTTACAGTTCCACATGGCAGGGGAGGCCTCAGAATCATGGCAGGAGGTGAAAGGCACATCTTACATAGCAGTGGCAAGAGAAAATGAGGAAGATGCAAAAGCGGAAACCCCTGATAAAACCATCAGATCTCATGAGACTTATCCACTACCATGGAAACAGTATGGGGGAAACCACCCCCATGATTCAAATTATCTTCCACCATGTCCCTCTCACAACATGTGGGAATTATGGGAGTACAATTCAAGATGAGATTTGGGTGGGGACACAGAGCCAAACCATATCATTCTGCCTCTCGCCCCTCCAAATCTCATGTCCTCACATTTCAAAAACCAGTCATGCCTTCCTAACAGTCCCCCTAAGTCTTAACTCGTTTTAGCATTAACCCAAAAGTCCACAGTTCAAAGTCTCATCAGAGACAAGTCAAGTCCCTTCTGCCTATGAGCCTGTAAAATCAAAAGCCAGCTAGTTACTTCCTAGATACAATGAGGGTACTGGTACTGGGTAAATACTGCCATTCCAAATGAGAGAAATTGGCCAAAACAAAGGGGTTATTCAAGAGCCCATTCAAGTCCAAAATCCAGCAGGTTAGTCAAATTTTAAACCTCCAAAATTATCTCCTTTGATTCCAAGTCTAACATCCAGGTCATGCTGATGCAACCGGTGGGTTCCCATGGTCTTGGGTTAACTCCACCCCTGTGGCTTTGCAGGGCATGGTCTTGGGTAACCACCTCCTGGCTGCTTTCATGGGCTGGTGTTGAGTGTCTGTGGCTTTTCCAGGCGAATAGTGCAAAGTGTAGGTGGATCTACCATTCTGGGGTCTGGAAGATGGTGGCCCTCTACTCACAGCTCCACCAGGCAGTGCCCCAGTAGG